CTCATCTGAGAATTGGTAATCTGTTGATGATGAAACCGAATGACGGACTGACTGTTGCTCGAATCGGAATCGAATCATCTTTGTTAGGGACGCTGAAGCGGGTAGGAAGGTGTGGAAGTCAATGGATGCGACTTGAAACTTTAACTCCGCCGTTAAGTGCACTTTATGCCGAACTGGAAAATTGACGAGATTCACGCGTTTTTGCACCTGGTCCCGCCCGACACGCGGCCTGAGTCAAGCAGTAAAAACAACAGTAAAATCAATCACGCTCGACCATTTCGAAAAAAATAGTAGAGCCGGCGGGTGTACGCGACGCCCTGCTTTCATCAATACTTTATACAACAAATGCGAAACGCCCGCAAAAAACTGCCGTTTTCGCGGTTAACTCCACAACGGCTATTAATCTGATATCGAAATAACCATTTTTTTTTTTACTCGCCGCGGATGCATCCGAAAATAGGTGTCGACTGAATCGTCGGGCGCACGAGTGCGCGATGTCTCCTTTTGATCCGACGCGACGCGACGCGACGGACGGACGGATCCGGCAGTTATAAAACTGCCCGGAGGCCCGGAGGCACAACGGAGGGCTCGGGACACAGAACCACCCCCCCCCCCCGATCAACTGACTTTTACTGCATTTCGCGTGATTCTATCAATTTCGTCCGACAAGTAATGAGCCCGCCAACAGAATGTTTTTAGCAATTTTTTGGGTGTTTCCGCGGCAAATTAGCGTAAGTGAGTTAGCATATCCGGCATGCACGAGCGCGCGCTTGTAAAAGCATTGTCTCTCTCGTATGTATGTATGCATGTACGTACGCACGCGTGTGTATTGGTATGCGAATAGCTCGACCCGAAACACGCACCAAGCGCGATACGCACGTCGACCACTGCATCATCGCGCACCATCTGCTCGGTAATGACTCCCCATTACCGTGTACAGGGACTTTCGTTGAATTATCGGTACATTTTCAGAGAATCCCCGGGGCGATGCGGCAGCGTCGCGTCGGATAGATCTCGCGATCGAAGCGTTGCATAAAGTGTCGCATGTTCCACTTACTCGTTTTCGATCGTGGCTCCCGTGGTCCATCGACGGTCACCTTAATCGCCCTCGTATAGGTCGCCACTTGGGGTGGTGTCGTCGACACGGTAATGGTGATGCTGAAGCTTTTTCCTGTCGCAGAGAACAATATATCAGTTGTCTATATATACAAAGTGTTTGTGCTCATACAATTTTACTCTTTCATATGTATGTATCACTAATTTATCTGTTTGCATTTATCTGTTTCAATTTACGAATGTATATTTATTTTTTACAGTGTAAAATATCTATAGCACAGATCATTCCTTATAATGTAAGCTAGCTTCTGTGCTACATAGAATTGATTCGCAATCTTTTCGTCTAATAAAAACGTAAGTTATTTTTATATGAAATTATTTTTCTCAAAAAGTGACTAATTTATGTAACTAATTTCTTTTAAATGTCCGATTTTCTAGACGTTCTGCAAATTTATATACGACGAGAGCAGACTCTCAAAATGTGTCCGAAATTTCATTTTTTTTAGTTAGAAATGACAGAGTGTCGGAAGACACTCGCATTATAAGGACTACTTTGGGATGTTCAGAAGGCATGTTTTCATCGTTAATTTAAATGCTGAAAAAAACGTAGACATTTCGAAATGCATTATATTTTTTAAAGACAAAATGCATTTGGTTAATATTTTTAACAACTGTTTAGCAATTTTGTTGAATATTTAACATCCTACCGATTGACATCTTGTTATTTTCTGTAAAGTGCATAATTTTCTTGTGTGCATAAGTTTTCTTCTTTCTCGTTTTCTGAAAATTACAAATTTTTTGGACAAAACGCATTTCGAAAGTCTGCTCCTCGTATATAAATAATTTCACATTTATTTGATCAATTAAACGCTAATTAACGTATTTGTTTGTACCTTTGATTAAACGCGAGCAAGATGACATCGAATTTATAATTTGCGAATTTGCAATTACATCCGTGTCTATTATTAGACACGTCTTAAGCTCGGTATTCTTAAGCATTATATATATTCTTAAGCGTTAAAAGATAATAGAGAAGGAGTGGATGCTGGGGGTGGAGCAGTCGTGTACATATATCATCGGTGAAGGTCTGGAAGTTGAAGGCTCGGTATATTAATTCCTTCTCCATAAACGTCCGTCGGAGAGATTGACTACGCGCTCTTAAACGGCCCATCGCGCGCTAATATGCATTCGGTAATTCGCCGCTCTTTCGCAACTCTTCCGTAGGAGAGGCAGCCAGTTGTCCCTTTCGACCAATTGTCCCTCTCGAACAGAGGGTTCGTTCTCGCGGTGAGATATTTATACCTAGATTTAGTCTCTCTCGTTATTTACGTTCTCTTTGAAATTAGAAACCCGAAGAGGCGTTCGGTATGCTTTAGCCGAACTAATTGCAAGTCGTATCTCGTGGTAGCCGATACAGCAGGCGATAACTTGACGAAAACAATTCATACGGATGCCATCTATTTCGCGGGCCGTCCGTTCGCCAAAACACTCGGTGTCAACTTGTCCAATATGACGAAACGAAACACGACCAAGACTGCTGTTTACGCCCAAAAGAGACGATACCTAACGCGCCGCGGACATGCAATCGTTTGTGTTGGCGTAAATGTCAACGATTTGTAATTGTCTCCCCTTGGTACACCCAGTTCCACCTCGCTGTGTCTGTCAACATGATAACCGGCATCAAACACCGCCAGCCCCCGCGCTACCCCCCGGGAACTGCAACTGACTGCAGAGCTACATGGCGTTATATCCCAGTTATATTCGCAGCCCTCTCCGCTCTTCCGCGATAGAACCACCCCCGTTGCACCCGCCACCCGGTCCCAGGATACTTCCCGCGGCCGTCATTGCCATCGTCATCGTTCATCTGTCGCGTGCAAAGAGCATCGTTTCGGGATGTCGATTCAAATTTTTGCGTCAAGAGGCGATTTCTCTAACGTGATTTTTTTTTTTTTTTTTTTTTATTTATAAAAATAGGCAACTGTTGGACAACGGAGGTAGAATATAATTTTTTTAAGTTTCCATAGGGAAGGCCTAACTCTTTCAGGGGGAAGTACCCGGAGTCGAATAAAATTAGAATCAATTTTATAGGTACGTCAAAAAATGTTTTCAACGATGAAGATGTCTAATTGGAAAATCGGGGAAAATCCGAAGATCAGCGATCCAAGTCGGGGGAGGGAAGTGGAATGGGGGAAGGTGGCGAGCAGTTGGAGGAAGGGTCGCACGTTGAGCTAGACTCCCTCTCCCCCGGCCGAGTCCATCGCATTTGGGGCTAATAATGCCGCACAGCCGACTCCCCTCTCCGGCGCCCGAACCTGCGGTTAATACTCGATGATGGGAACGGTCATCTGCAGAGACAGGACCCGGTCTGTGCATTCGCGAACGATGGACGGTCGGTTGGACGGGCGGACGGACGGACGGACGGGCGTACGGACGGACGGACGGACGGGCGAACGGACGGACGGACGGACAGACAAAACCGGGCCACGCGTATGTGGCACCTATATAACATGCAGCATCACACAGCTTGACTACTCACGATCTCCCGTGTGTCTCTCTCTCCCAGGGCGCGCGTGAACGTGTGTACGTATGTATATGTGTCGGTGCGTTGGTAATACACCGACGACGAGATGAGCGCGCCAACCCAAACCGCCCACACACAACCACCCGAAACCACTCGAAACCGTCCGTTAATACTCGTGGCGATGAGCGGAGGGGACGAGGATCGCGTAGGGCTAAGCGAGCAGCAGCAGTAGCAGCAGCAGCGGCAGCAGCAACAGCGGCAGCAGCGGCAGCGACAGCAGCGTACAGGGTAGAAAGGCTAAGGGGGTGCGGGGGTGGACAAAGGGGAACGAGAGCGGACGCACGTTGGTGGTAGGGACGGAGCGGAGGTCCCAGAGTCTCCCAACAGGATGTCTCTGCAATTGTCAAATAATTACTATCGGTGGTAATTTCAGCCGTGTCGATATAGACTGCGGTATATTACTAATTATAGGCACGGGCCGCTTTCGACCCCGGCGATGATGATGGAACGACCGTCGTCGTTTTCAGCCTCCGGTCCTCTTTGATTCGGCGCTACCATATTTCGTTTCTTTCCGACGGTGCGTTTTTCGGAATTATCTACTTGTTAATATACGAGAGAAGCGACCATCTATCGAAATCAGAAAATCTCCTAAACGCATCTCTATTTGTCGAAGATGTCTCACAGCGGCCGTTTTGAAACAGCGGCCAATGCTTTATAAGTTTATGATAGTTTTAATGAAAAGAAAAATGATCGTCGGCCGGCTTGCGGTTGTTTCGCATTATTCCCTTTTTAACGTAGACTGACTTTAATAGTCGGCTGATTAGAGGTAATAAACTGTGAGGTGTGCGATCGGCGAGTTGTAATCTCTTACGTGACAACAGAAGACACGTGTAAAAGCAATTTCAATCGGATATGTAGTGATAGAGAAAATTGCGCGGTGAGAAAAATCGTGAGAGGGATTCATCAGCCCTCGACTCGCCAAGTCGCCGAAAAATAATCTCGTCGCGCTGGTATGACGCGATCGCTCTTTTTAATCGAGGAGGCAACGGCCGATTTTTCGTGGCCTCGCCGTTTTAAAATCCTCGCTGCAATTTCTTGAATCAGTTTGCCGGCCGATGCGATGCAATTCAATCAAATTAATAAGTCGCGGAAACAAAACCTCGATGATATAGGAGGGCCGGTACGTGGCCCCGATGGTGGTGGCCAGTATCAACACACCGAGAGCGGTTTGGTCAATCGCCGAAATTGAGTATTATGGATTATCGGGGAGAGATTGAAACGGCAAAAAAAAAAAAATATATATAACAACGAGCCGAAAAATGGACAAAGGGATCGAAGGATTTCCGAGCGAGGGAAGTGTCTCTTTCGCTAATTGACTCCGGGGACCGATGCACCTGTGCGTCAGGAGGAGGAAAATCGCTGACCCTGCACTTCATGATCGAATCAAATGAAACATAGATGACGCGTTACAGAACGGAATATCCCGCCGTGTACGAGCAGTCTCTGGCCCGTTAATTCATAAACGCGCCCTCCGGTTCGTGGGGTGCAAAATGCATTTGTAGGCTTTGACAAAGCCGCCTCCTGATCCGTGAATAATTATTATAGGCTAGGAAATCGATATTTTGATAACGCAAATGAGGTCGGATGCAAACCATAAAGATTTCGTAAGAAAAACAGCACAACTTGAGATCTTTACTTTGTATATACATTTTATATAGAATATTAACAAAATATTAATATATTGTTAAGAGTATATATTATTTTTTATAGATTTTTTTTTATTATATTATTAGAGAAAAATAGCTGCGTTAATTGTTTTTCATAACAATTTAGCCAATGTTGCTTTGATATTATTTTTATCAATTAGTATTGGCGCGAAAGAGCCGCGGTGAAGAAAATTAAGGACAGAGAATTAAGCGAAATATGAACAAGTCAAGAGCTTCGATCGTTGGTTGATTTTGGCAAGTCATCTTCTCCGTCTATATCTGTCTATATCCGTTGGATGATTTCTGATTAACGGCCAGTTGTTTCGAATGCTCGGTTGGGGCTTGCGGCAGACATCGAGTAATGACTCTGGGGGTGGCAGGAGAGCGGGAACTCGCGAATGGGGACACACGGGGATGGACGAGGGTGGCACGATGATGATGATTACAATAACCGTGATTTTAGAGGGCTGGAAATCGCGGCACGCGCTTTTGCCCGTCCTAGTATGCAGAGCTGCAGATTTCACTCTTACGAACTTCAACATGATCAAAGGTACGGTAAATTGTTTCCGGAAGGATAATTGGAATGCCGATACACTTTTTTTACAAGCATGCGACGTCTTTTATTAAATACGACACGCCACTGAACTAAAGGAAATACTTTTTGTTGCATAATTCTTGTAAGAATTTAAGGAGAGAAATAAAAAAATGTAATAACCAAAAAGACTCACCTCTGCCACTTCTGCCGACAAATCTAAGGTCATTAAATTTGGCGACTTGATTCTTCATTAACGCGGTAGAATTTCGTAATTCGGCGCAACAGTTCTCGTCATTACCAGCTCGAACTGTCACGAGAGTCCCATCGCCAACCTCGCCGAGGGCAACCACTTTAAATGCCACTGGAAGCGTTTTGTTGGATCGCCAGTGCGTCGGTAGTTGACTGCACAGAAAGTACGGCGATCCTGAAACAAAGATTTTTATTATACACAGAATCCTTCAATTTGATTTTAATATACAAATAATAATTTTAATGTAATTTTAATAGAAGCGTATAATGCGTAGATAAAAATATTTGCTTGATCTAAATTAAACAGATATTCTATTTTTAAAATGATTATTAACATTATTATTAAATTGACGAGTAATTGAATTTGTAATATCATTATTTCAGCTTCAGTTTATGTTTGCGGTTCCAACAAGCAATTCGTATATATACTGAAAGATGTATTTAGAATTTATATTATGTATTTATCCTTTCCTTACTTATTTAATTTATTCATATAGCGCTTTAGATTGACTTGTAATTGTTGTTCATATACTTCAAAAAAAGATTGGCACAGCATTTTTAGTCGGTTGCAGCAGCCAATTAAAAATGCTATATATTTTACCTATCTAATTTGCAGCAGCAGCCAATTTTTTCTTTTATTGTGCAACACGGATTATTTCAACAAATCCAACAATATTTTAACAATATTTCAGCAATATTGCGGTAACATTGCAAACGTTGCAGTAAGCTTCTATGCTGTATGGATGTAATTAACAGTTCGAAGAATAGTGCAGCAACAAAAAATGTCCTACTTTTTTAGTGCTTGAACGTGAATGGTGAGACGTTATTTATACTAGCTTTAAATCGTGAAATTACTAAAAGATATAATTTACATTCTGTCCTATCTATTTATAATATAGCTACGATTCTACACGATGTGTAAAGTACCTCTTTGCACGGAAAAAAAATGTGTTTTAGAAAGTATCACCAATCAACTTAAATTACTGATAAATAATACTCGAACTGAAGTTACACGATGGGATGAAATATACTTTCCTTACAATGAAGTACATAAGTGAAATTTATTTTTGTTTTTATTACTTCGTTGTGTAATTTTGTATTTTAAATAATTGAAATGAAACTATTTTGTTACATTTTATAAAAGTATAATTTCTGTGCAACAACGCACTTTTTGTTATATACGAAATCTTGTATTTCAAAGAGAGAAAGAGAGAGTTAAATTGAAAGGTGGGCACGAGAATAGTGGATTTCGTACGCGCTTCTCTTCGTCGCTTAAAGAATTTTTGGTTTTAAATAGACACTTGTTAGCAACAATTGGAACCAACCTGTCCTGACCAGTTCCCCAGGATGCTCGGCCTGCGCCTCGCCGACGAGCCTTTCGGTCCACCATAGTTCGCCGACGGCGGCACTCTCGCTCATTTCGCCGCCTCCACCTCCGGCGTCGGCGTCGTCTACTTGGTGGTACCTGCTGTTTACACCTTGCAGCGGCGCCAGGGAGGGACCACACGGGCCGGCGCCTTCGTGAGATCCAACGGTGCCGTAATTCTCCCCGCAGCCCACGGAACCCACCGGTAGATGCATCCCATCGGCCAGTAGCCGCCCCTCGTCGCCCAAGCACGCACCCCTCGGCCGGGACGTCGTGATTTCACTTACTACGCAGACGGAGGCGACTTCGTCGTGCCTCGCTACCAGCTGCCGCGGTAGATCTTTCGTCGTTCGTAATCGATCAGTCGTTCCTTCTTCACGATTGCGTCGATTTTCATGATCGGTCGCGAGATCATCACTGCGAACTTAACACGGCGGAATTGCGTTCCGGTCTTGATCCTTGATCGATGCGGCAGCTGTTTTCAACTCAGTCTCGCAATGTACCGTTGCACTTTTTGCGCGACGCGCGATCAGATAGACCGGCAATTCGAAATACATTGTCACTGTCTAGCGTCAATTTATTAACATTTAATATCTTGAGTCATCACCAGTACTCACATTACCACATTTAAATTTCTCTCTCTCTCTCTCTCTCTCTCTCTCTCTCTCTCTCTCTCTCTCTTTCTATGTCTTTTTAGAACACCATCGCCAGCGACACTAGCTAAATCATCAGTCGCAAATCTCTATTCCTACAGGTTGCCGCTGCCGGGATGACGTAGGCGAGGATTCCTCGAAATCGATATAACGTCACTGCGTTACACTTGGACGAACGGTGCACTTTTCCTACATACAATCGCCTCCTGACATTTCCTTCTGACGGCGGACCGAGTCATGATCGCGATTGTCGGCGGTAGCGATCCGGTCGACGATCCTCCCGCGTGAACGTCAGTCGCGGTCGACGGTGCGCGACGTAATGCCGCGCGGAGCGGCTCGGTGGACCGCGTGTTCCACGCGTAAGCGGCCCGGGACGGCCTAAGCCCCGCGACTCTGGACCCCCGCCTCCACTTCTGCCCCCGGACTGACGCCCCTCGGTGGCAGGAACAAGCTACGCTCCAGCGCTCCCACCACGCATACCGCCCGCCCCACGTCGCGCCACTTTTCGCGCCGTGATCTCCGCGGCGGAATCTCCGACGTAGTGGAATACTCCTCCGTCGACGACGTTCCTCCTTCACCGTTTCCGCCGACGAAACGGTCACCGTTACTTTACGTGCGCGCGCGTACAGAGAGAGAGAGAGAGAGAGAGAGATGTCGCATTGACGTTTGCAAATTTCCCAGATTACCAGCTGACACAGGTGATCGGGATGTACGTCGGGATAAATTCGTGGGATTCCCCGTGAATCAGCGCAAACGTTTATAATTTTCCTAAACACTGATTAGCGATTTCACGCAATCGTATTTATTCAAGCATGAACATTTAGAATTTTCCTATATATCGATTAGCGATTTCACGCTACGTGTTTATATATTCAAGCGATTAGTCTTGAGATTAAAGATCAGAGAAGTTTAATTATTAAAGTATAGATTTTTATAGGTACATTGAGTTTCAGATGGTCCAAAGTCCATCGATCGTAGAGCGTAGCTCGGTCAACGACGATCAGTTCCCGTTCGGGCCACCTCTCCTAATGATAAGGGGGAAGTGCGATAAAAAGTTTCGATGTTATCGTATAATTTCTCAGGACTGTCCAGCCTCCTAGTAACCGCGATATGATGAGTCCAGCCTTCGAGTCATTTCCCCACTTTCTTTGCAAAGTAGAAACGCGTGATGTGGGGGATAGAACGCGTTTTGCCACGGTAAAGCTGGCGACGAATCTCCCATTAAACGTTCACCATAATGTCACTTGTATTAAGAACATTTACAAATAGCTCATTTATATTTAGTATAATATTAAGTGTAGTATTAACCCTCCGGGGAAAAATTTACAACACGGGTGATAGGTCCGTAAGGTCCATTTAATTTAATCCAGTCCAATTAATTAAAAGACACTAATTAATTTCAAGGAGAAGTGACATAACTCGTATTAAATAAAAATCAATACTAAATTATTGTTAATATTTTAATAAAAACAATCAAAATTTGCAAATGTAAATGTATTAAAAAATAACATAAAGAAATTTGAATCGTTTGACATTTTTTGACAAAGATTTATAATTGAGTGGGTCCACCGTTAACTTTCTAACCGAACGGAGGATTGAGATTTTATCCCATACTTCATAAAAGTATATATATTGGTTCTTTATATTTTTTATTTTTTATTTTAGTCCTTGATATTTTTATTTTTTAGATTAGAGGAATCTTCTAAGAAAGATCTGATTACGATTGAAGAGTGAACAAATATTTTAGGGAAGAAATATTTCTCGGGTACACAGATATGTCGGTGTATTGATTAAGTTTCTTTCTAGCTTATGCGAAATCTCAGCGATACAGCATCCCATCAAGCAACGGCAAGGCGTAACAAGTGTCTGTGTGACGTCATTCGGCTTTCTGGAGGCGGAGCCTCTCGTTGGGGAAGCAGGTAGAGGGGTCGAACTCTCCCATATCATGCATCGCTTGCCCCACCCCCGCGATTTTGTTCCTTTGCGCCTCCACCGTTTTCCACCTCCTGCCTCTCTTGACCCCTTTTCCTTTCTCGAGGAAGCTTGGATCTCAATGCTTCTTGTTGGAACATCGAAAAAATGCTTTAAACGATATTCTTTAAGCAATTGACCGTTTATTAAAGGATTCTCGATTATGTTTCAAAAATCTCCTGGCTTGATTCTTTCGAGAATCGCTCGATTCGATTTCAACGATTATATAGTTTTATTATTTGTTGTTTAAATAACAACGCATATATATATATCTTACATTACGTAATCTCAAATGATGATCTCTAATAATTTTATAAAATATAATTTTATATACACATTTCTCAAAGAAATTGTTAATAAATTTACTTATTAGCTACAATTAATTATTAAATTTACAAAGACGCTGTCATTTTATCAGATCTTTACGTGGTTTGTCAGAAAGTTCCTTGGACCATCGTATATATATTTCAGACTCGCCAAAAATTCGGAATCGCGGTCACAAGATGCTACTGTTTATTGTACTGTGGTCTCTGCTGACGCGTAATCGAGAAGGTAGATGCGGTTTGCCGTGGTTCGCAAGAATATAGGTGATTAACCTCTTGGATGTGCTCCTTGTGTATGGATAAATTTATCAATCGCTCGCCTATCCGCGTCGTGAAATGTTCGGAATCGCCGCAAAAATCGGCACTACGATCAATCGCGAAACCGCAACCGCCGCGACCGCATTATTTGTATGTTACACAAGTAACAACGTACAAGCACGAATTAAGACATTAAGTCTTTCGGATCTTTTCTCATTGATCGCGATTCAGATAGTTGATAAGTGCCGATTCTGATAATTTATATGCTATATGAAGCATACGTGAAAACGGTTTTGCTGAAATATCTAAAAATTTAGCTAGATATAGATCTGCAGGAAACAACATGTTACTGACCTATATATAAATAATTATGTAAGATGTTTAAGTTTGTTGCTAGAATAGGTCTGTTCTTTTTGACTGAGCTTTTGCACCAGTTCATCTTTCTTCTTCTTCTTAACTTTTGAAGAGAAAAGGAAGAAAGATGAACTGGTGCAAAAGTTTAGCTAAGAGAAACAGGCCTAATGTCAAAATTTTTCGCAGCGTTGTTCTAACTTGCTTCAGTTTCTGAGCAATTATTTTGATTCAATAAAATTTATTTTCTGTAGATCTGATATTTTCTGTAGTATCTAATTAAATTTTTAGATTTAGTTATTGAATAAATAAGAAGATAAAAGAGTAAGAACATAAGAGAGTAAGAGAATAAGACAGTGAGAATAAGACAGTGCTGAAGTTTACCGAAAGGTGGAACAATCTAGCCTTAATGATTCAAAGCATTGAAACTTATTCTGTGGAAAACTTTATTTTTTGAGTTATGTTGTAATTAATTGTAGCATAAATAAATTAGCAATATATATGTAGCTAAATTTTTACTTCGTTAAAACCATTCTGTGCATACATAGAAGTAGCATGTTCAACATATGTTACATTATACCAGAATATTGTTTGACACATCAAATAATAATTCTGATTATTTTAAACTAAAGACGTTTTGCGAATATATTGCGCACTAAGAATATTTTAGAGAATAAATAATTAATTATTGAGTATAAATTCAGTCAGTTTGATTTACGATCCACCAACATCCGACCGACAGGAGGTTCAGTAAAACATTATTCAACTGCGACAAAAGATTATGTCCGACGGCTGCATTAGGCAGTACGAGATAACAGATTAACAGCGGCCAAAATAAATTGAATCTTTTGACGCATTTTTATCAGTGCAACGGTATCGCTCTGAGCCACTTCCAGCGCCACCGGAAAAGCTCACAAGACCATCTTATCGTTGACTGCTCTCTGAGAAAAGTGTCGGCTTACATAAAGTATTATTCTCTGCGATATATGCTCTACTACTCTTTTAATAATAATTATATTAATAAAATTAAATTTCTTCTTGTTCAAAAATTTACTTTGACAATTTCTGAAGTCGTCTTTTATATAATTTATTTCACTTCCTATTTATTTTACCGATAAATAAATTTGTTTCATTATAATTTAATTTTTTTTAAATTTTATGCTTTTATAAAAAAAACGTTTTATATACAATAATATTATAGTTTAATTATAGTAAAAATTAAAGATATTATAAAATCTCAAAAAATATATGTTTTAGAAAGTGTGTTTGCTTCTTTTACATTGCAAGATTTAACGGTGAAAGAGAAATTCTCATCCTTTCGGTAGATAAAGACGGCGTATCGTTAGGCATAAGTTAATTTGCCTTCTACGCGAAAGCCGAGCTAATGAACTATAAATAAGGGAGGAATACTTGTGCCAAGTGGACAGCCGCACTTACTGACCCTTCGTAATTAAAATCCCGTCCTAAATCAGGACTAGGGATACGATTAGACGAGGATCGTTCCTGCTCCGTCAGCTTACCACTAAATCCGCCGCGACCCTTACATATTTGAACCTTCATCTCCCTTGGTTCTTACACGCGTACGTATACTCGTATTTTTGAAGCAGCTAACTTTATTACAAATGCAAAGTTTCCGCGTAGATCAGCTTAAAAGAAAACACGAGAAAGAAGTTGCAATTTAATACAAGTTTCAATGCATATAATAAAATGCATTGAAACCATTTTGTAGCTAGACAACTTGGAGTTATAATGGCCTAATGACAAATATATCGTTTTCAGAAAGCATTATTATTAGAAACAAAAAAATATGTGGTCTGTTCGTGACCATACGGAATGACTCTTTTCGTTCTTTCCCATTTCCGATACAATTCGTCTTTCGTTAATTCAGCTACGAAGCGTGCAGTTAATAATCCTTTTGCGCAGAACACGCGATAAAACGAGGGCGGGAGAGTTGAGAAGAAAATATGTCGGAAAGACGAGGGTTGCTGTGTATAAAAATATATACTATATTATA